ATGAGTCATTCAGTAGCTTGCAATCACAAACTCCTTTGTGATAGGTCGTTGCCTTTGGTTGTTGCATCATTAAGTGTTTAGATGTTCTCGCTAGCTGTTTCTCCGTCTGACCTCTGACCTTTCTGCTGTCTATCATGCTTTTTATTGGTTGATAGATTGCATCTATGTCTATACATCTGTTTGATGAAGTTGGATTGATTAAGTTCTATTTATTAAATATATTTGCAGAGACTAGGTTACGTGTTTTTCGAAAATGACTGAAGCTTGTAAGATAATCGCCATATAGCATGCATATAAAGAGACTCCTCAGTGCATGGTACCGCTACCCAACTGCCGAAGTTTCCATGCTTTAAATCAATTCATCGAAGTGAAAATTTATAAAGGAAGGACAAATAATATCAGTGGTTGTAGAAAGGTATAATATAAAGGTAAACAGAGATAAAGATTGTGAAGATATACGAAATTCTATTGTGTAAAGACTGATGTTCTCGTTCTATTCTAGTTTATTAACAGAAGGAATTGTATAGATGTTGATTTTATCAAAACTTCTGTTACTTCTTATACTAACCAGTCCACTTTCGGTGCAATTTAGTAGACACTACTGCTTCTGGTTTCTCTATTCACAACTACAAAGCATCCGCAAATGCCTAAGGTGATATTCTTGTTACTTCCAGTTGTATGTACTCACTGAGATACATGCATCTTCAAAGTAACCTTAAGGTTCAGTTGTGAAGAAATTAGGTACATATTCAGTAAAATATTCATCTCTTATATTCGATACAGTATATAGTCAAATGAAATTCAACAAGTGCGTTTCACTATTAAATAAGTTCATGATCTGATGATTCGCACATGCGGTGTAAGAACGTAATGAAGGAGCAATTTAGTTATACAATTCCTAAGTCATTTTTTACCAATCAATCTTGTGCATAACAATTTTAATGTATTCAGTCAAATACATAGGAATGAAAATAGTGAATGAATCATCTCTTTGCAGGTTATGGTGAACGGCATTGAATTTAAATAGTTGGCGGTAATAACCATGAATCCACTGACCTAGGTTCTGCGCCTGCTGGAGATCATCAGTAACGCATACATTAGTAAACTGTACACACGGCAAGCTTGCCGACGCCCGACAATAGCTGTATTTCTCGATCTGAAAGCGGCATTCGACTCCGTTGATCGAGAAATCTTATGGCAATGTCTCTCACTGAAAGGCGTGCCGAGTAAGTACATCACCTTATTGAAGGCTCTCCACTAGAACACTTGTGAGCGTGGACGTGTTAGACTAAATAGTGAGATGTCCAGGGAGCTATGCTCATCGAGTGGTGTCCGTCATGGTGCCCACTCACTCCATTCTTATTCAATTTTATTATAGATATTCTCATGGAGGTCTCCCACTCGTCACCTGATTACACAGAGGTTGACCTAATCGCAGGAGAATTTTCGTGAGACCTAGAATATGCAGATCACATAGTCAGTCGTGTTAGGTGAAGCCGCTGACTGGTGAGATGAAGTCTTCTGAACACTTTGAGTGGCAATTTGAGAATGCTTGCGATGTGTTTCTCACCACCCAAATGCAAATTGTTGCTCCAGGATTGGTCTTCAACGTTGCCTAACCACGGCTAACAATGGAGAGTGTAGTGGTTGAATATGAAGTAGGACCAGCCCTGCCCTGGTGGCTCAGCGGTCGATGAAATCTCTGCATGGATACAAAAGGCTCGACTGGCTCTCGCCAACGTACGCCACCTGTGATATCCGACTGTCTATTAAGGGTCACGTGTACTCCACACCAGTCCACTCTGTTCTAATGTATGGCTGTGAAACATGGCCATTGAAGGTGAAAGACATGAGAAAGCTGGCTTCAAGTGTTTGACCACCGCTGCCTTCGTAGTATACGCCGTATTCCGTGGTGCCACCACATGAGTAATGCAGAAGTCAGGTGTAAAGTCTTAGGGAGTAGAGGTAAATCAGTTGACACGGTTGTGAACCTTCATCGATTGAGATGGCTGGCTCCGACACGTATTACGTGGCCTAGTTGCCGTTTGCCTCGTCACACAATGTTGGCCAGAGTATGTTCAGGCTGGAAAAAGGCCCGAGATGGCCAGACTAAAACATGGCACCAATGCATGTGTAACGGTCCGAGTTCCCACAGCTCATATCAGTACACCAAGGAAAATGGCAGTGGGTTGCAAGATGAAGAAGAGAAAATTCAGTCAAAAGAAATATAAAGTACGAAAAGAGAGAAAGGAAGAATGACAAAATGGTGAGATTCGGTATAGCATCGTTAAGATGAGGATAATGTGTGTATACATTTGTACCACTGACATCGGTTCTGAGCCATGTGATCACCTAGAGTTTTCAGCCACTGGTTACTTTTGTCCTGCGGACACCAACCACCACACGAAATAATATAACAAAATTATGAAAACAAAGCGGAAGGAAGTGGATGAAAAGAAAACACAATTGGAGGAGGATGATAAGAAAATCAGTCCAATAAGATAGATTCAAAACAAAACATTCATTACTTTTCGGCAGCAGAAGATAGGGGGAAGCTACAGAATGAACGCCGCTGGTTTCGATTCTGAGCTATGTCTGATAAGATCTTAAGCCAGAGTCGCAAGATCTCTTGGATCCCACCAAGACAGTCGTGATGCACTGACAGATAATAACCCGATAAAATTATCCTTCATCTCACAACCTCATGTCATAGACTAACCACCCCTTCGCTTCTTTCATCCAGTCCCACGGTTAGCAAACAGAAAACGGTATGGAAGCCGTTGGGACGATATGAGTAACACACATCCAAACCACCGAAGCCGGTGTTTCAAGATGACTTCACTCATGGAATAATGATCTGCATCATGCCCAAACACACGCTGTCGTACCTCAGAATTACTTAAATGTTGTTGCGACCGGATGTGAGCAGTCCTATGGAGATAACGACGATCGAACACACAGAGTCGTCGCATATCCTCAGCTCGGAGAGGCCAGGGTTCACAAGTGTAGAGCAGAACTACTTGCACCGATGCGTTTTAAACCCAACGTTTTAGGGTCAGACTAAGGTAGCTACGACGCCAAAGATGGTCCAGATTGGCGTATGTCACTCTGGCTTTCGATATGTGGTTGAAAATTTCACCACTCACACCTCTTCCAGCACTGACGCAACTACTCAGATACACGAACTCTTCGACTACTTCCAACGGCTCACCACCAAAGGTGAGCGTAGGCACAGGTTCCTGTTAATCTAGCTAAAAAGCTATGCACCTCAATGGTACAAACATACCATAATTACGGACATTAATCGACAACTGATTAGGTGCGACTTGAGTGGCCTGTGTGTTATCGTATAATAAGATGATATCGTCCGCATATTCAGGATCGAATAGCCGTTCTCCGAGAAAAAGATCTATCTACACCATCACATACCTCTTTCGGAGCTGTCTCAAGAATGTTATCGATGGCAAAGTTAAAGAAGAATGGAGAAATTCAGCAACCCTGCCTAACCCAAATGCTGGTTTGGAACAATGGAGACAGGTGGTTGCATGCCCTCACTGCATCTGAAATGTTATTATGTAGGGCTTTCAAGCTGTCAATAAGTTTCTCAGGCACCCCTCTGACTAACGGACAATTCCAGAGTACAGCTCTGTCAAACGAATCGAAGGCAGCCGTAATACCTTGAAACACGATTGTTGGCCTGCAATACGTATGGTGGAGAGCCAATACATCATACATACACGACCTGGACGAAACCCGCCCTACTCCATGTGAATCAGTTCCTCACATGTTTTGCAAAGTTTGCGAAGGTATGATAGTAGACAATATTTTCGAAGCGACTGGTAACAAACTAGTACACGAATGATTATTACATTCACTACGCAGACTCTTTCTAAAGATTGGTAGAATGATGACCTCACGCCAGAGTGATGGAACACACTCGATTGGCAATACCTTTCTCAAATAATCTAGTCAGTTTCCTGACTAGAGTCGTTCCTCCATCCTTGAAAATAGCCAAAAATAAGTTATCTGGGAGCATACCGAGATTTGTGGAGACGACAATCATACACAAATTTCAGTCACTCTTGTGTGTGTATGAAAGCTATTTGCCCTTAAAATGCAACTACATTGATAAACTTTGTCTGTTTTCATTTTCAAGGTTAGGATCAAAATATATTATTCTTTCTTCATTATCTTTTGAGCTGAAACCCAGTATGGTTGTGATTGTATTATTTGTTCTCTCATATTTTTATGTTAAATAGATTAATATGACAAGTAAATGGGTGACTGAATTACTAGAAATGTGTCCCCCGAATACGCTGCATAAGTGGTAAACAACTTATCATCTCATATCGTAATTGAAATTGAGTTGAAGGGGCTAATTATTTTGAGTTTTAAGTAGGTATAAATAAGCATTTTGTTGGCTGTAGCGAAGATCTAATAACAGTTTGTAGTTGAAGCTACTGCGCAAGTAGCTCATGTGGTAACATAGATTGATCAATCCAGTCACGTGTGTAAATAAAAGGAAACAAAATAATTTTAACACTCGGTTGGAGCAGTTTGTTGTTTTGTGTTGACGGTATTTGGGGACGAAAGTGAACAACGTCTTTCAATATAAGGAAATCTAATGAATTAGAATACCTGAAGAGACGTACATATCGTCTTGTCTGGTAAATAAGCAAGCGAAAAGTACGTATGTTACTAGACACTAAATGACTGAGTCAATAAAACTGTGAAGTAAGAATATGAAAACGCAGACTAAATATACAAAGCTGAGAGTGGTTGTCATGACTTTGCAGACGATTTAAAGTCTGAAAATCAGGGGGAAACACCAACATCTCTGAAAGGTGAAGGAATTATACTCAGCCGAGTAATCAGTAATAGAAAACAAAACGAGGCATGCATTTCACTGTAATCTATCATCATGAATAGCAAATACAGTTAGAACAAGAGGTGTGTTTCTATGTTCATGGTCAATAAAAATGTCACTTAGTGTAACTCACCTTCATGAACAATTCTAATGTGATCATTAAGACGAGATTTAAACGGAAATGTTCTGGTACAGTAGGTACATGGCAATTTTGTATCTAAAGTAAACAAAATAATCAGATTGAAATAATATCCAAACTTTAAGCGTCAAGTACATTTCAACATTGAAGGCAACAGAAAATACACCAGATCAGAACATAGACGAATCAAGCGTAAATATGAAATCGACTTACATTGATAGTGATCAAAAAATTAATGAAGGTTATAAAGTGGGTGGTAGCTGCTAAATCATATATTCTTGAAATACCACTTCTCTCCTGGTACCAGTTATTCAATATATTGTTAAAGATAGCCAATGCTGAAATTTTCTGTAATCACATGTTTCCTAAGTTACCTTTACATCTTGAATTTCTGTTTCTTCATCTTCCTTCTGTTTATTTCATGTTAACTGCATTTCTATTCTTTCCTTACTGGCTTTAAAAATTCTGTTCAATCTCTTTCCTTCAATGATATCCTGATGTATATAAAATAAGTGTTATACGAGCATACAGTGTCCTGGATATTTTCAAAAAAGAGCATTCAATTCAAAAGCTCATCTTTCCCACTGTTTTGTAGGATTTTTAATAAGAATTACTGGCCATTTTCAGCTTCACTGATCTTGGTGTCTAGTAGGGGAATCCAGGACGCACGTTTCGTCCTACTTGGGACTCGTCAGCTGGATGTACCTGCACCCTGGTGCGAGGTTATGTTGTTCGCACTGGGGCTTGAACCCAATACCTTTCGTTTCAAACGCTAGAGCGATATCCACTACGCCACTGGGCCACAGGAGCCCATTAGTCAATAGAGGTCGAAGAATCTGGCCCTGTATAGCAACGGGAAATTACAACAACTGATACCCGTTGCACAAGAGGTGGCTGTCATGCTCCAGTGGCTTGGCGGATAACGCTCTAGCGTTTGAAGCAAAAAGTATTGGGTTCAAGCCTCAGTGGGAACAACACAACCTCGCACCAGGGTGCAGGTACATCCAGCTGACGAGCCCCAAGTAGGACGAAACGCGCGTCCTGGATTCCCCTACTAGACACCAAGATCAATATAACATTATGAATATCCGACAGTATCGAGTCATCAGCATAGGAGCCTATCTGCCAACAGAGGTCGAGCAATTTGGCCTATATAGCAACGGGAAACTGCAAGTATCATTACAACATTCACAGTTACGTTAGAAATACATTGGAGTTAACATACAAATAGTCAAACATGTGAAAAGTTGTGTCTGACTCTTCCTACCTCAACTACGCTTTACGATACAGCGCACCTAGTCACCAAGTTTGTTTATATATATATATATATATATATATATATATATATATATATATATATATATATATATATATATATATATATATATATATATATATATATATAACAATGACAGAGGATTTGATTGACTATAGTGAAAATGAAGAAAATATGATATTCACGCTTTGAAAGTATAAACAGAAAAAAGAATATTCAACATTAGGATAGTTACCATATTAAATTTATGATAAACTATGTCTAGAATTTATAAAAGCCAAGCGTATTTGACTACTGTAGTTTTTTCTGGCACAATTTGTGTCTGACAAAAGCACCATGTGATGAATATACAAATATGGGGCAATAGAAGTAAGTCAGATGATGCAAACGAATTTTCATCCAGTAAGACCACTGAAAACTGTCTTTAACATCCTGACCTGTCATCCACGACTAAGTACATTTGTCACATGAGTTAGAACAAAGAAAAGCTAATTGTCATGATATTAAGATATGACATAGCTTTATCAGATTTTTAACCGCTGATATGAGTCATGTAAGTGTAAGCTTCCTCATTGGCGTCTACAGGATAACTTTAGGAAATATAGTACACAAGCGACAGCAATGATCCACATACACACACCTCCCATATGAAGTCAATTTTTTTGTGGAACAGTCGATAGAGAATCGCGTCGGCAGTCTAGAAACCGCCGTTTTGAATGCTGCGACGACCCAGATTTTTACCTCGCCTTCAATCACAGCTCCTATCAATCTCAATAACTATCTTTAAAATCTTATAACCACATTCTTTATTGCAACTAAGTGCTTTCCTTATTGTTCTATACCTTGGATTGATATGTAGCTACTTTAGGCTCTATGTTGCTTTTATGTCGATTGCAACAGCTAGAAAATTAAATTCCATAAGGATAACTAAATTTCCTGAGTATGGTCACAAGATGGATCTGCCACTCAGAGTTTTATAGTTTATCAAGTAACACTCAGATGACATTTGTTCGTGATAAGAATTAGATTTCCACCTGACGTCCGCAAAAACAAAACACATTGAAAGTAATAATGGATTGCACAGAGTACAAAGAAGTAATACTTTTGACACCATTAACTAAATTTTATCTGATGCTGAATATCTCAAACACTTATGACGTCGTCTGCAAGAACTTTTACACATGGACTAACAGTATTACTTAAGCAATATTAAACACAAAAGTAGGCGAAATGGATTCAAATTGGTGGAATAGTAGGTGTAAGTTAGATTTCTAATTAGTCCACTGAGCTATACTTCAATATATAAAGCAGATAGATACTCAATTACTAGTGAATTATAATTTTATGATATAAAACTTAACTAGATATATGTATGATGAATGGACATGGCCAGTTAGTAGGCTTGATTGACTCATTCTGCCTACAGTTCAAACTTAACTGATGAATAGAACTTATCTACGAGTGTCATAGCATTAGCTTGGTCATTCCAGATCTATACTGCTATCCTATTGGTTATCTTCTCAAATGTTACTATTTGAGTAGCTAAGACTATGTTATTCTGAGCAGGCTATTGTAAACATATATATTTAATATTGTGTAACTGAGTTTGAAGTGTTTAGGACAATCTGGAACTGATGGATTGTATGAATAAACAAATTACAATAAGGATTTTTGCTACTATTGCGTTGATTCCAAAATTCTAACCCTAGTTAATGTAAATTAAGAATTTCAGTTATACAATAGTACATAATTCTACATTACAAAAAGAGCACATTTGTATTCACCTGAACATACATTGAACGTTCAAGTATACATACTAATCATTGTTATAACACACTAAATAACTAAATATTTCAACTTTTTTTGTTAATCAGATGTTAAGAACAAATCAGTGATAAACATCTAGGTCTAGAATTAACTGAGTATCTGATTTAAATGAATTTTATCCTGTTATGTATTCTCAAAGCTAAATAAGAAGCGATAAACAAGTTTCAGAGGTACACTTTCATCTGATTAAAATTTTGACGTTTTCTCTTCTACCTTTTCTAAGCAGGTATGAATTTATGTGTAAGTAGGCTAACAACTAGTATTTGAACACCCCAGTTAAACAAGTGTATATAAAATCGAAGTGATAATGAAAAATTGAAAGGATGATGTACACTACTTTTTTCACTTTCGACAGGTATCTATGATGTATAAGAATGAGTGAGTGAGTGAGTGAGTGAGTGAGTGAGTGAGTGAGTGAGTGAGTGAGTGAGTGAGTGAGTGAGTGAGTGAGTGAGTGAGTGAGTTTACTATGTTGAAGCTAATAGTAAGCGAATTGTCAGGATCACGCCTAGATGTTTACAATCTCTGCTTTATCTGCAACTCATACAGCTTAAACAGATAGAAGTCAAGATGAAGATGAATGCATGCTAAAAAAATAAACAGATCAGCTTACTTTCATGAACAAAAACATTATGCAGAGATAAATAATGTTTTCTTGAGAAAACTTTTCCACACACTGGGCACGGATAAGTAATTCCTGAAAATAAAATTTAAAAAACAAGAAAAAATTCAAATCAGTCATGAAAATTTTCAGAAGTATACTGATACTGTTGAAGATAGCATAAAACACTACAAACTGCATTGATAGAGAGTATGAAGTACCTAAATTTTCAGAAATAGGTTTCTAAGTGTTCAGGACATGAAGAGATCAACTTCACGTTACACGAATTTAAAACATTGCTCCACAAAGATATATACAAATTCAACTTATGCGAAACAAGGTGATAAACTTGAGGCAAGTCACTCTAACAGAGAGAAATACCTTGAATGCATGCGATGTACTTTATATCGAAGTATAGAAAACAATCATAAACAAACACTAGATATACATTCATTATATAGGTAGGTTTTTATATACATTGTATTTGTGTAAGTCACAATAGGTTTGAAATCAAATAATTCCAACGTTTCACACGCAAGTCTGGTCCGAGCTTCTTCAGGAAAATAATCAAAATTAAAATATCAAGTATATATAAATGAATTCAAAATACGTGTACTTGTACTTGTACCTTGTCCAATCCACTTCGTATAATCATTGTTTTGTTTGTTTGTTCATTTGTTTTAATTATGATACCTAATCATTCAGTGTGAAAGTGTATGTCTTTTGTTGTATGGCATATGTATGTTATATGTGTACATATATGTACTCCAATTCATATTCGTCTTGATTGTAAATATCACTGGTGACATAGTCATTCGCTACTTTTATAAGTACACATTGAAAACGATGCCCTGCATATGTATACAATTTCAGTTGGAATAAACTGGTGAATAGTGTTAGCGAATTAATTCTCTTCACATTGATTTACCGGAATACAGTGGAAATGAGTGGCAATCATGGTGGTGATGATGATGACTTTGTGGTGTTGACGATGCAGAAATAATGGAGTTGAGACTAGTGTTCACGGTAAATGCTTTGAGTCACTCTTTCTGCTTACCAATTAGTAATTGCCAACACACAGCTAACTGTACTCCATCTAGTCTGTTCAAACTGTCTGCATTCCCCTATATATGTACGGCTTCGGCTGTCAGTCTTCCTTGGTATGACCCAAAACCTTTTCGTACAACCTTAGTTCAGTCAAAGTCAATTTTATGTCCCATTTCTATGGACTGCAACGCAATCGCGGATTTCTTTTCTAGTTTCTTAACATCTGCTAAGGTTTTTGGGACCTGACACAAACATAGTTTATGCTCATCGACTCTCACATTTACCTCCCTCGCCGTTCACCCTACATATACTGCAGTACAGTCTCCGCATTTCATTTCATAGGCGCAGTTCTGCTGATTTTCTCCAGGTACTACATCTTTAACTTTCACTAAGTTAGAACATAGGGTATTTGTTGCACAAAATCCTTCTCATCTTTTCTGAAGTTTCCTTTCGATATGGGATCACGATCGTGCTTGTCCAATTCCTCGGAGGGAGTTTCGGCACATCCTCAATTTCATTTCTTTTTTAAAAATAATTGTTTGCTTTCAGTGTGCGGTAAACTAACTTCAACTCTTCTTCTTTGTCCTCTTCCGTGGTAACAAGACTGTTGGCCCTGTTAATTAGATTCCGTGCGACAGTTACCTTAGTAGTCAAAGGATGTGCAGACTGATAATCGAGATATCTGTCAGAATGTGTTGCTTTTCTGAATATCTTAATCTGTAGTTTGTTGCATCTATATCTAATGTCAACCTTTGACTCAGCACCCAATATTTGCCATACTATATGATCAAATCTCGATCAAAGTTTATATAAATCATAAACAGACATTGGCAGGATGCTTTACACAAATCCACTAGTGTTCTCTAGGGTATCGAATTAAACAGTATATCACCCTAGTGCATGCGAAGGATTTAAAATGCATAGAAGAAAAACTGCTCATGAAATTAAGGCAAGAAAATATGAGCATACTAAGTACTACTGTTTAAACTTTAAGAAGTCAAGGAGAACTTGAAATATTTCAGAAAACTTCACCCAGAACTTTGAACCGTATAATATCAACTAACAAGATTAACTTTCATGATATTCAAGTTCATTCAGAAAGGACTTCAAAGCTATACGGAATGTCTTACTGCAGAATCTCTACACACAAAATGCGACCGACATCAGTTAAATAAGGATGAAAGAATAAAACAAACAGTGACTCACTAAACACAATAAAAACCATAGTCACATGCATAAACATAGACTTCAATTTATAATTCACAAACTTACTACGTACATATACAACATACAACCACTATGTGTTATCTCTTTTCAACCATTTGACAACTCAGCACTATATGCACATAAAGAATTCAAATGAATCATCATATGTAATTAACGGTGGATAGTGGCTAGCAGTGGGATTCTGGACGAGCGTTTCACCCCATTTTGGGACTTGTCAGCTGGATATGCCTGCCTCCCAGTGAGTGTTGTTTCCACCGGGATTCGAACTCGGGACCGATGGCTGGAAATGCCAGAGTGTAATCCACTAGACTACCAAGCCATGACAGCCACTTTTTGTGCGACGGGTATAGTTTTAGTGTTATTGCTTGTATAAATAAAACAGGGAAAAAGAGGTATCCGCGCAAAAGCCTATGTGCCAAGAGAGACCGACCAATTCGGTCCAATCAACGACGGTATAATACAAGCAATAACACTAATCATATATAATTTTTGGCATTGTACATTCCTGTTTACTAATACGTTGATGAGCCTTTCAGCACTAAATGACAAGACATTGACAAAAAGGCAACCTTTTTTTGTTTTACATACTCTGCGAGATACAAAATATTAACCTATGCATTCAGCAGTAATCAGTGGGTTTCCAACTTTATAGGAGCAAACAAATTATCGAGGATTTTATGATTATGATTCCCAGATTTTAAACAAATGACGTTTTCCCTGTAGGTAGTATAAACTAGACTAGAAATTTTAAATTTATAAACTGGCACATCTTTTACTGATTTCCAATACATACTTGGTAAAAAAAATCAGGAAGCGATGGGCACTGGGCTCTAGTCTCTGTGGGAATAACAGTACTCCCTGAGGTCCAAGTATATCCAGCTGATGAGTTCCAAATAGAACGAGAAGCGTGTCCAATATATCACTGCTAGCCACCAAGTTGGGAGATAATTGAAATAATAAAACTTAGTAACTTAAATCTACTGAGTACTCATCACCTACATAAAACTTTCCGAAATATGCATGATGGGGACATAATCTGAGTGTAAACACAAAAGGTAATCATGAATGACCTTAGTCGTAGACTTCGAATAATAAATAATAATGCAATTTAGCAGCCACGTATGTGTTGGTCCACTAAAGTTTGAGGTAGGCATTCGCTGTATAAAAGCTAATGATATTACTTGGATGTTCGAAAATTGGCATGTGCAGAGGATTTTGAAGACACTATCAACTGGTTGAAATTGTAGCGTCTAAAGTGACAAGCAACCACGTGAAATTTGGTGCCCTAGATTGTGAGTGAAAAACATATGCCTTGTAAGCGTTGATGATACAATCCAGCCGTTAATACTACAGTAGAGTTAGTTAAAATTCACGACCTAGTGGCTGAAAGGTGAATGTTCAAATCATTGAAGCACATCCACATAAAATGTTTGATTCACATGTACACGTAAATGTAAACATACCTAAATGTACAACTTCATTGTGAGATTTGAGTGCACCATTTGTCAAAAAGCATTGACCGCACTGTTCGCATTTAAACCGGCTTACTATACGAAAACAAACAAACAGATGAGTAAATGAATTGAAATTAAAACAAAAAAAATGGATTAAGTTTCCACAATAGAGGCAAAATACGTAACTCTATCGAGGAGGATTTAAAACGTTTACATCGTTAGAAAATTATTGTAAACCGAACATCTCAGTAACGGTAGGACTCACGGGTGATTTTAAAGGCTACACCAGCAACTGTTGAAACAACTAAACAGGTTTCTGTATTCCGGCAAGAAATGTTCATAAAATATAAAAATCTGATTGGCTAATTTAGCTGTTGTTAAGGTTAAGGTGGCCTTTAAAGTAACTCGCACTTACAATAGGTATCAAAGGCTTGGCATTAACAGGCTGTTATAGACTTAAGAGCGTCGGCGCGAAATCAAATTGTCAATCAAATGACGAGTATATTGCGCTGCAGTTCATTCCGTCCCGTTATACGTCTGTGGGACATGACCGCTAAAGTAAAAGATATGAAGCGGTTACAGGGTTTTGATCACATACGTTTTCGCAGTATTGCTCGTGTTTGATGGAGTGTTGAGATTGGTGGAAGGGTACTAGGTAACATGGGGAAGTCGACTGATAAGGTTGTGAACTCTAGTCGACTAAGATGACTTGGTAATGTACTGTGCGTACCGAGCCACCACCCATTTCGACGTGCCATGCTAGAGGAAGTTGGTTTAGATTGGTAAAGCGTTTAGCATGGCCAAACCAAGACCTGGCACGAGTGCATGAAGTCTCTTACGGTTGGTTTAACCCCGTGTGGGAGAGATGTAGACTATCTGGTTGGGGTCCGCAAGATGAAAGGAATCACTAGTTGAGGACTCTTGGTGACATGGTTGAGAATAGGTCACAATGGTGCAATGCATTCACTCCTGACATCTTCTAAAGCTTAGATATTCGCACTTACTTTTATCTTCAGATTGTTTATTGTCTCACACAACTTTGTTTCCTTTGATATCATACATTGTCTATCCACCTATTCTTTGTGTACTGCCGTGAAGTGTTGTAACTTGAGCCGATGCACATGTATGTGAGGTTCTACGTTGATTTTGTCAGTCAGTAAGTCAGATGTAATCATTTGTTATGATAACACCTAGTCAACTGGAAACTAGATTAAATGAATGAATTCAACGCTTGACTCAGACTTTACCACTACTGACTCACTATGATAAACCGTTGGCCGTCTCAATACCTAAATGAGTGAAATCAAAACACTGAAATGCTAACGTTTGCATGATTGATTAATACACGTGAATTCAAGAACCAACGTCATTGACGTAATAAAACGGTTATTTATGTACAGAATAGATACAATTTCATTTTCAGACAACAATTAATCAAAAGTCTTATGAAGGTTAGTTGGCAGTTAATAATATGACCAAGCTATCTCAGTTGATGAAGATACATAACCTCATCAATCGACTTTCCCGTGTTACCTAGTACCCTTCGACTGATCTCAACAATGCTCAAACGGTGACTCCATCAAACACGAGCAATATTACGAAAACGTATGTGATGAAAACCCTGTAATCGCTTCATGTCTTTCACTTTTAACGGTCATGTCTCACAGCTGTACAACAGGACAGAACGAACAACAGTAGGGCAGTATACTTTTCCTTCGATAGGTGTTCGAATATCTTGCCAGTCAGCCCATAAGTTGGCAAATACCGAACGGACTTCTGTATCCGAGGCGGGATTTCGTCAGCAACGAACCCAGTCGGCCCGATCCAACTCCCCAAGTAAGTGAAGTGATCGACACATTCCACCACTGAGATTAAGACTAGAGGTGAGAAAAGTCGGAAAGGAAACTAATCACATCGTCAATACTAAAAGGAATGGGGGGAGGATTAATTGACGGGGAATCTTTAAAAATGACTACGGTTCAGAATCTACAAAAGGCAGGAATGCAGAAGAAAACTGAAAATGCAAGTAAAATTGCATTCCTGAGATCGGCAGGTGTTTTGATTTTAAAAATCTTTACATGAGCTCTATCGGCTAATAGTATGCATTGCTATTGAGATCAAAGAAAGACAAATCACCACAAGAACTCAATATCAACTTATTCATTGCTGAAGGACCGCATGAACAATAAAGTAATTAGCCAATCATGGGAAAATTACTTGTGTAATGAGTCTAAAAAATGTATTAGTTACGCAATAAGCCTTACGACGATGTGCTTGTCAATAAACAAAGGCATAAAACAATTAACCCCTATGCCTCTATATAACGTACACATGCAAAAGATGCCATAAATGCTATTCGGGATAAAACTTGATAACTAGAAGGATCCGACAACGAATTATTGCTAGGTAATAGCAAGGTATATACAACTAACCACAAATAATGCCTAGATAATGCAGTCACTTTATCCAGCCGTTCACTCGTCTAGCGAAATTGTGGACAGCTTTGTCCTTCAAGATTCACAGATAATCTCAACGACAATGTATATTCAGTTACGAAGAAATCAATGTTACAGAACCCTAGATGAAATGGTTCACTCTTTGCATCATCAAAATTGTAAAATTTTTAATAACTTTGTCTTTGTGGTCTCTTCTTCAATATCCCTTTTACTTATTTAACTATCCTTTCAACTTCTTTCAGTCTCTTTTTATTACGCTGTTCAAAAGCACGGCAATTTGAAATGTTACATTCTTCTGCGAGGTCCTAAGGTGATCTGCTTGTTTATCTGAGGACGTATAAGTTGTTCTGTAACTCTGAGAAAATCTTATGGAGTGATGATCTACAGATCTGTGAATAAAGATACAATCTTTCTTTCATTTGAAAAGAAGTAATCCTACATTAAATAGATAATCAGTCAAGTAAAGTCATTAATAACGTCAGCTGTACCCACAGTAACAAAGACCAAGTGTTCGCGTCTACAGAAGATTCTTTTCAAACAATAACCTCATAAAAGCCAGTTCAACTGTAACTCGAAAATTTCCCCCACCGTTCCATTCGTCTTCCCTGCGAGCGAATCATAGATCTGTACTTCTCTGCAGTAGTCTCACCAACTACTGACCGCCTTGTCCTAAGTTTACTTGATAAGTTCGAATGACTGTCTGATGTTGCCCAACCACCGCTGTCCTTCCATACAATACTTGTCAACGAATATTCCAGTTACTTCCGCTCCTCGATGTGTTTAGAGCCTGAGGGAATGCGTTCACATGCATCCAATAATTCAGAAACCACCGAGATCTACTGATCTCTTTTTGAGAGTCCAACACCGGTGTTTAACGCTCCTGTAGCAGCAGACTGTAGATGGCACCATGCCTCTTCGCGACGAGCAACATTATTATTATTATTTGTCCCTTCAGTTCCTGGTGGAAAATAAGGCTTCAGTACCATGTCGCCATTTCACTCTCTTCTACACAGTGTTTTCAACCTGGCTCCACCACTGCTCACAAACTTTCATTTCCTCCTCGCACCGTCTCCTCCATGTCACCCTCGCCTCCGACGCCCAACTCGTCACTTCCCATTTGGATTCCACTCGACGACCTGGGCTGACACGTGATGTCTCCGAATGGTCTTCTCAGTGTATGCTCAATCCAATCCATCTCCACTTTCTTCTGCATATTCGTTGAGCGATAGGTTCTTGATTGGTTCGCTCCCAGAGTTCCTTGTTCCTTATTCTTTCTGGCCATCTGAGCTTCAGTAACGAGTGTAGGCAGTTGTTGACGAATATATGTAGTTTGTTGAGTTTCTCAAGTCTCTCAACCATATGGAAGCACTGACTTGACATTGATGCTGGAAATCCGGGTCTTGTTCTTTGTGCTGAGTACAGGTCTCCACAGTGATTTCAGGCTGATGAACACCTGTCTTGCTTTTCCGATCCTGGCTTTGACGTCCTCGTCAGTGCCGCCTGTAGTTGAAACAGTGCTTCCCAGATAGGTGAAGGAGGCTACTTCCCTTAAGTTTCTCCCGTTGATGGTGATTGATGCTTGGTGGTGGTGGTGGTGGTGGTGGTGGCGTTGGTTGGGTATCATCACCTCCGTCTTCTCTATATTCACTTGAAGTCCTGTCTTTGCTGCCTTTCCTCTTCTGTCAACTTGTTAGTTTTTGCCTGTAGATCTTTGAGTTCGCGCGACATTAGACATAAGTCATCGGCGAAATCCAAATCTTGTAGGGAAAGCTTTTGATGTCGCCATCTGAGGTGGGGTCATGTCGTGTTCTGATTGCAGCTGTCTGTAGAATTCCTCCTTCTCTTCATCTGTATCATTTGGAGGTGCATAGCGTAGCACTGTATGATTGTGACTTTCCTTGCTTTAGACTTGAATCCATCTGGCTGTCATGATCCTGATCCTGCAGGAGGAGATTGGTTCCCACTGCATGACAGAGAGCCTTTGATGCTTTTGGAGACATCATGATAGCCACTCCAAAACTCAGCGTCCCAGTGGTTGTCGTCTGGGTGACAATATCGGAGTAGATTATTGACTCGTTTCCAGTTGACAGTTTGGAGAGTCCACTTCCATCTGCTTATCCCTAGCAGATTCCTAGCACTTCTATACTATATCTTCTCATCTTTTTTGCAATCTGGGCCACCCTGCTAGGTTCATACGTAGTGCGGACAATCTACATCCCCAGTCTTACTTTTGCTTTCATCGAGAAAAGACACATCGCCCAATTGTCTTCCTGAAGTCTTTCACCAATCGGCGTCATTTTGCCTCTCCGATTCCAGCAAGGAATAATTTTATTTTCATTTTTTATATTTTGTTTGTGCTGTGAAGTTTCTTCAGCGCTTAGATTTGTTTTACGGGGTAGTGTTGCTAGCCTTATCCCCAACCTCCCTCTTTACCCGGGCTTAGGATCGGCTAGTAACTCAGTGAACTAGTTAACCATGTAATTATTGTGAAGTCAAGTATATAGGTCAAAGCAGCCGATCTGGGTCAGTCAGAATAGCAGAGCACAAAATTTAGCGAAACGTACAGTGATAGACCCTAGTAAGATAAGTAACTTCAAGAAAAACTCGGCTATCATTCTGCATAATCACACCGTACGGAGGGATAGGGTGACAATTCTAAAATCCAACATAGGTAGGTGGAGGGAGAGATTGATTACAGAATCTTCGTTGATTGAATCACCCAGAACCTAACACATGTAACATGGATGACTCATTAAATATCGCAGATACCTGGAAAATTTTAATTAAAATAAAAGAATGAACTTTAAAACTATGTAAAGAAATTATGGTAATTCGTCTGGTTGTTGCTAGCATAAGGATTTAGGACGCAAACTTCGTCCTGTCTGGGACTCGTCAGATGGATGTACCTTCACCAAAGTGAGTGATATAGTCCCAGCTGAGATTCGAACCTCGTACTCATCGCTTCAAACGCCAAGGCGTTATCCACTATGCCAAGGAGGCATCCGAAGTGACGGGTACAAAGTCCAAGTCTCAGTGGTGCAGGCACATCCAGCTGACGAGTCCCAAACAGAATGAAATGAGCATCCTGGATTCTTCTGCTAGCCACAAGCAAACAAATTACCTTAATAACCATCTAGGCAACATCGAGGCATCCGCATAGGAGCCCACATGCCAGTAGAGGTCAAACAATTCGATCCAGTGAAACAACGGAGAATTACGAGTACTGCTTCAACACTACGTAGTGCCACAATCTTTATCAACCTCATTCAGCAACTATATGAAGATGCCACATGCCATGTGATTCACAACGGGAAGCTCAGTGATGCCTTCGAAGTGAAGATAGGAGTAAGACAAGGCTGTCTACTATCACCCATGATAGTCCTGATTGTGGTTGACTGGATCTTGCAGCAAACAGTGAGGAGCGAGAAGAGGGTGATACGCTGAACCGGGGAAAAGATCCTAGAAGATTTGGATTTCGTCGATGACTTATGTCTAATGTCGCACAACTGCCTACACTCGTTACTGAAGCTCAGATGGCCAGAAAGAATAAGGAACAAGGAACTCTGGGAGCGAACCAATCAAGAACCTATCGCTCAACGAATATGCAGAAGAAAGTGGAGATGGATTGGATTGAGCATACACTGAGAAGACCATTCGGAGACATCACGTGTCAGCCCAGGTCGTCGAGTGGAATCCAAATGGGAAGTGACGAGTTGGGCGTCGGAGGCGAGGGTGACATGGAGGAGACGGTGCGAGGAGGAAATGAAAGTTTGTGAGCAGTGGTGGAGCCAGGTTGAAAACACTGTGTAGAAGAGAGTGAAATGGCGACATGGTACTGAAGCCTTATTTTCCACCAGGAACTGAAGGGACAAATAATAATAATAATGTAACGAAAGTTTGGAAGTCATATGATTATTTTGAGGTGAATGTGAGGAGTGACTTTAAAGGTCACCCCAGCAACAATTGAAATAAACAATCAGACTTCTCTATTGTAAGAAAATCTGCCTTTCTAGCTAAAACGAAGAAACCTAATTGGATATTCCGATCGTTGCTAGGGTGACCTTTAAATTCACCCAAATATAAGTAATTAATTCTGTTCGAAATTCCATCCAGTAAATAGTATTGCATCACTATGTGTTATGTCAAACAGTTGAATGCCTGGACCAATTATCTAAACGCTCACTGGTAACAAACAGACAGATAGTGGCTTACAAACACGCATGCAAAAAAGAGTTTGAAAAACCTTATTTTAAGCTAGTAATATAAAGACTTTATGGTTACAAAAATTTCATAACATGAATGAATCTATAATAAAATAGCTTTAATTTAACGGGTAACTCACCTCCATGAATCATCGCTTGATGAATTTCCAACTTGTACTTCTCTGCAAATGTTTTACAGCATTGAGGACATGTATATTCTACATCTGTGAGAGGAAAAATAAATACATGTATCTTCAGTAAAACTCATCGGTAAAACTTTAAACTCGTACAATCACTTAATGGGACTACTTGAAAAAAAATCAGTAGTTCAAATGAACGAGAATATTGAAAAACAGTCAATCACTATATTCAGAACTCAACTTCTAACAGGTAAGAGATTTATGCATTACGTGGACCATCTCAGTTAACAACAGCACTACACTTAACATTTTATTTGCATCAACATGAAATCCAATAGAGTCTAGCACAAAATAATAAATTTTCTTCCTCAGTTATGAACAGCTTGACATTTCTGATTCAAAGACACTAAGGTGACAAGAAGTTTTGGGGCGTTAGCAATCTCTCATCTAAAAAAGCTTTATTGCATAACCGGAAAATTATACACTGAGATGAATAGTAAAACGTATCTGGATGCCTGACTTACAACCTCATCAAAGTACCAAAATGTTTGTGATATGAAGCGGCCTAAATAGGAATTAACATTTTAAATCATCAATCGGTAAGGTTGAAGTTTTGGATTTCGAACTTGGTTTTGTGTTACTGTGTGGTCAGGAAAAACTTTATTGGACAATTTCGTCTTACCGTTAACTGATCCAACTTTTGACCTATCGGTTCTATACGGTCATGAAACTGGTTATAAATGATGCATTTTTATCGAATAAAGTGTCGTCTTTATAGCCACAGGCTGGTTTCAGTTTTCCAATTTTTGCGGGTCAGTGAATTATGAGGTTCTGAGGGAAACACTTGCTATTCATATCCAGTTCAAGTGTCTCACCCCGTTAATATTGTTCGTATATTATTAGTATTCACTAGGTCATTTCAGTTTACAAGAACCCTGTCTCTCATCCCAACTTGCAAAATAAATCTCTTCATTTTTTATTAGTCTGGAGTCGACTTTAGATATTCAGTTTGTATGTTACATGTTGGAATAAGATATCAAATACTTTGATTCATCAGCCATAGGTTCATGCTGATTAACGCATTCCAAAGTCATTTCAATCAAATAGAAATGATAAATCGGCCCACAATGATACATTATGTGGAAAATGTGTACTTCACAAGTATTGAAGGTAAGGAATCTGTTAGCAGCAACCGCGATGTAATTATAACTAGAAGTTTCATTTTATACATGCTTGATTTACCGGAGGTTTACGGAATGAACTAACCATAATAGTTTAGGTGGAGACTAGAAAAAAAAGTCTTTGGAGTTATACTGTACCGTAGCAAGGTTGATGCAGAAAACCCATATACCTCAAAAGTTAACGGTACTACAAACGACTGTTACGCAATGTTATACGTATGCATTAATATGTAGAAATTCCAATGTAAGAAGTAACCGAGCTTACAAATAAAGTTAAATACAATTTAAACACACCTTTGTGAACATATTTAATATGCATTTTCAGAAATGTTTTAGAAGTGTAACAGCTGCGACATTTAGTGCATTGGAACACTTTAACTTCTGGAAAAAAAGAAAACACACTAAATAAAACATGTACAACTATACATTCAATGAAAAATGATCAAGTACATTTGCTTTCCATTTATAGAAAAACGGTATTCGCAGGGGCGTAAACATACATAGATGTGAAGTAATTCATTACTGTAGCTCTGTAACCGGATAGTAAGACAATTTTCTGATTGGCACGATGGTGATTATTCACATGTACAGTTTCCACCTATGGTGCTTAATTTTAAACTAGTGCTTATTACAATAGGGTAATCACTTTGACCTACATATTTTACATTCTGTGATTTTTTGAAAGATATTCACTTCAGTCACATTTATTCAACGGATAGCATGGTACACGAATACAAACGTTCAAAGTCCATCTGAACTGATAATGAATATATATTTGATGGTATCAGTAGACATTCAAAACAATAAATCCACAAAATGGCTATTATTATCATTATTATTATTATTATTATTTCGCCTTTGGGTTCCTAGTGGAACATAAGGCTTCAGTGCCATATCTCCATTTCACTCTCTTCTACACAGTCTTCCCAACCTGGCTCCACCACTGCTCACAAGCTTTCATTTCCTCCTCACACCATCTCCTCCATGTCACCCTCGCCTCCGACGCCCAATTCGTCGTTTCTCATTTGGATTCCACTCGACGACCTGGGCTGACACGTGATGTCTCCGAATGGTCTTCTCAGTGTATGCTCAATCCAATCCATCTCCACTTTCTTCTGCATATTCGTTGAGTGATGGGTTCTTGATTGGTTCGTTGCCGGCTAACTTCTGTAATACTCTCTTCATGTATGAGAACTTTCCATTACTAAAATCATTTTGCAGATATTTATAACCCTTAAGACAGATGAGTCAGGACTCACAGTTGGTATGACCCAACTAGCATTATGTTTGAAGATACACATAACTTGCGTGCAATAACTGTCGAAGCCCTCAAGTCAATATTCAGGGGAGGCAGATGTATACACTAACGTAGGACATAGCATTACAGTGCATCAATTTCAGTTGCCAAACTTCACAACTGCATGCTAAGAAAAGGTGAGTTGAAAACGAAAAACAAATAGTTTTGCAAAAGAATACAACAGAACAAAGCAAAAAACACTTAATATTTAATAAAGATTTTCACAACTTCGAAGATGACAATGAGTATATATATATATATATATATATATATATATATATATATATATATATATATATATATATATATATATCTGCGCCAGCGTGACCACTATTCAGTCACTTCACTAACTTTCCCCAACCACCGGTTACTATTATCTCGAGGATCTCAGCCAGACATTGTGCACTCCCTACACGGCTCTGACCAACAGTCAGAGGCATTATTAACTAGTATCTCCGTCTTAGTGTGACGACCCCGAGCCTCCTTCCAACCCAGCCCACCTTCAGCAAACATTACACGCCAACGTAGGCAGACGTTCAGAGTGCGGAAAGTCACTTTTAAAGCCGATTTATTCGGTGAAGGCTCACAACCTCATCAAATGAATTGCTTTTTCCGTAGTAACTTCTGTCTAACCCTGCCAATGCACACATGATAATTAAGGCATACCCAAGCAATACTACAAAAGCACTCATGATCATAAGTCTGTAATCCCTTACTTAATATCTATTTCCATCTGCCATGTCTCACCGACGTATAGTAGGACAGAGTGGACGAAAGACCACTTTACTTGCCTTTTAATAGACAGTTGGATTTTGTCAGTAAACAACCCATTCTGTCCGGTGAAACTCCCCAAATAAGTCAATCGACCAACGAATTTCACAATTTCACTCCCTATCGCTTAGCTATTGGTGCAAACCAGTTCTGAAGCATCATTTTACATTTGACACGTGCAAAATCCATGCTAAATATAACCAAGTTTCTGCTCAAGGTGTTCAGAAGACCTTGTATTTTGTGAATCTCATCAATGCGTCATCTGTATCCTCCAAATCAACCACCTGCTCTGCATGCAGTAAATCGATTACTAACAAGTCGGAGGTACTTGGGTTTATCTCCATCGGCACATTTATGATAAAACTGAATAAGAATTATGATAAAGAACGATTGAAAGTAGTTCATCAGTATCTTCCCCGCACACACACACACTTTTTCGTTTCAAATATCACAAAACGAATAGGTTCATTATAAACTTTGTGGGTCACTTCACAAGATATTTAGCTCACTACTCAGAGCGCCTGCTATGAAGCTTCTGTACAAGTAAATGAATACACAATTTCCATACTATAAGTGCATATTGCGACAACACAATTGCATACGTTCACAAATACAATTAGCTTTCTGTATTTGTGCTCAGACTCAGGTAATAACCAACTGAGTCATGAGCCACAAAATGTTGTACTAGTCTGTAAGTCCCACTTAAGCTATGAGAGTGCATAAAACCATCTGGTAGCGTAGGTGGGAATAGTTTAAGTGCAGTTTAGACCTGGGACCTACTAAGCGAATGAACACTATCACAATGTTATTCAATGAAAAACTTTTCCTGAACATGGAAAGCTACTAAACCCGGTTAACTCTTTGATTTCGTCCTGTGAAAAGTAGTATACTACACAAATAGACTAAATTTCATTGTAAAACACTACAGAGATATATCTTGTAAGCTGCATATTTGCAATTCGATTAGCACCTTTTTACAAACTTAGTGTTTTCGTGCATATTTCGATGAAAACATAAATTCAACGGATTAATATTGTTTACTTACCTTTAGGAGGATTTCGCTTTGTTCGATTTCGAGTTTTCTTAACAGCAACTAAACCATTACTGTTACTATGGCCACTAGTATTATTATGCAGATTTTTATCAACTCGATCACAATTAGATTCAACTAAAAAGTTAACCATAAAAAACTATCAGTGTTGTTGTGCAACATGATATTGCATCTTTTAATCTACAAAAATCATACCTGCTGTAGGACAAACAGAGACAAATATCGTACACACGCATACCATAACTTGTAAGATTTAATACACAGAAAAAACACTGAGACGCACCCAGCAACCACGTGCACGTCCGCGCAGTGGGCAATGAGACACAGCTCTACAACACAGAATCTCGTCACAAAGCATTTTCACTAATGTGATCATTATTGAACCATTTCGTCCAACTTACATCTCAAGAACGGCAGCTACATAAAAGCCACCAATAGCCTAATGGTCAGATTTGATACATGTACAGCATAAGTCTGCAACTCCGATCACATGGTAGGCAGGTGAACTATAATGTATTGCTGAGAGACCAGACGGTCTTGGCATCAACCTCTTAGAGAGTCGTGCGCACGCTCCTGCGGAGTCCAATAATAGGATAAACAACTGTTCAGAGCCCACAAATTCTCAACAATTTTCCAAAAGACATCAACCTGTGATGTTAACTACTTCCAAGTAACCCATGCATAAATCACATCTAGCTTGTCGAGTTTTGGGTGAACTATGTAGCAACCATTGAGGTTTTCAGTTCAAATGAGTGATCTGTGTAATAGAATGAATGTGTCAGGCATTGTGAGGTAAATAAGTCAAAGTGCTTTTATTTTCTTCAGTATAGGTTTTATTTTAATATGACAGTTGCATCGAAGAAGATAATTCAATTTCACTACAACGCAACGTAGCTTAAAAACACGAAGAAAAAAATCTTTCATTAAAGCATCACTTTCTTTAGAGACAAGGTTAATACGATTTGAATAAATGAAATGTAATTCTTTTTTATCCGTAATGGTTAACACAAGACAAAACTCCAGTATTGACAGTACCGTTCAAGGTTCCAACGTATAAAATTATTGGATACCAGCTAAAAATTCATAGAAAATAGTTCCCATACTACAAATTCTTGACCAACAGTTCCTACCTTGACATGGTCATCAAACTTGCACATTTTAGGACCCAAAAAGCTATGTTGCCAGGAACGACCGTCCCTTGAGTTCCTACCACGCCAGAAACGTCTGTTGGATAGTGGTAAGACAAAAAGCAGTCACCATCACACTATTAATGGCTGTGTTGAGGAGTTCAAAGGGGTAGTTGTGATTCTGGCTCGAAAGAATGTGAAAGCAGTAAGGTGTTTCTCGAGGACGATCAACAGCCTATGCTGGTGCTTCCTTCCCTATCACACAGAGGAGTTAGAAAAAAATCCATCTGTAAAATAACGATCCCCCTACCCTGCAGTTTTTCGATGGTGGTTTGGGTTGTTTTGTCAGGTGGTAGCATAATCTAAACTCAATCCAATGCTCTTAAAAAGCTAATGTGGCCGACTGCAATTGAATGTCTCTTGGTCTCTTCGACCAATATGAAACTAATTGATTTTCTCTTTTAAGGCAATTTACGATAACTTCCACTATGGGATGCTATAAACTACAAAACAATAGGACCCTTCTAATGTCTCCCTATAGTGGAAATTGTCTAAAAGTACTTGTAGCCGATTAGTCTTTACATGGAACAGTTTTCTATCTTAAAGACAACGAGTATTCTACTCACTGGTCTACAAGTAATAGGAATTCAGCAACATGGTACATTCATTTAAAAACTAATGTAACAAACAAAGACCAATAAATAAACTTTATAACAGCATAATAATAATGTCTGCTCACCTTTGATATGATCTGCAAGCTCCAAGGTTTCCTCATTCTTTAAAATACATTCATTTGTTGACTTGGATATCAGATCATCTAACTGTACCGGTTGCTCCTTCTTAATACTTAATCGCAAACGAAGATCTGTTACAGATGCCTCCATTGTTCTGAAGTGGTTGATAATACAAAAACAGTGAGAATCTTAAAATTCAGTCGATGTGAAATCAGGCCTGCAATAACATCTGATTAGCCAGACCGAATGCAGTGAAGCAGAGTTCAAGATCATGACTTACTACTCAGAAGTCAAGCACTTGGAACAATGAGTCAAGCACTTACATTACCTGTGGCAATTTACCAGCCAACGATAACAAAGATATCGATTATGTAACTTAGCGTAATAAAACAGTGGTAGTATATGTGATGATAAGAATACTGAGAACCGCATGATAACTTAAACAGGTGTTCAGAAAAATAGTAAGTTAGAGCATCGAAAATGAAAATGAGGTTGCGTAGTACTAAAAGAAAAAACCACTGGAAAGCAACCGACAAATATCCAGTACCTTCAAGTGTTGGTGAGGTTTTCAAATCGCAATGACCCAATGAGCTACACTGGATTGAAAATTCGTTTCCTCAAGGTTTTACAATACCATGAAGGCTAGTTGGATACCCGCGCGGCATAGCCAGTAAAAAGAGTTCATACTTGCACTCAAAAAAAACTAAAATCTCAAAGTTCTGAAAGAGCGATAAGTTACCGATATCAAATAAATGTTCCTTAAGCTCTACGGCCATGCGCTAACCCTTCTTTGTCGGGTACCTCAAGAAGAAATAACCTTCCATGGCGCGGGAACTGAGTGACACTGAAAAATTCATGTAGAACCTCACACAAAGGTACATCGGCTCAAGTTGCAACACTTCACGGTAGTACACAAAGGAACAGGTGAATAGATAACGTATGATATCAAAGGAAACAAAGTTTTGTGAGACAATAAACAATCTGAAGATAAAAGTAAGTGCGAATATCCAAGCCTTAGAAGATGTCAAGGAGTGAACACATTGTGTCATTGTGACCTGTTCTCAGCCATGTCACCAACATCATCATCATCATTATCAACATAGGACCAGGCATTACTGCGTAACGGTCCGAGTTGCCACACCTCATATCAGCACATCAAGTAAAAAGGTAGTGAGGCGAAGGATGAAGATAAGTGAGTGCAGTGAAAAGAAATATAAAGTACGAAAAGAAAAGAAAGAGGAGTGACAAAATGGTGGGATTCGGTATAGCGTTGTTAAGATGAGGATGATGTATGTATACATCTGCGCCACTGACTTCGGTTCTGAGCCAGATGTCACCAACCGTGTCAACTGATTTACCTCTACTCCCTAAGACTTTACACCTGACTTCTGCGTTACCCATGTGGTGGCACCACGGAATACGGCGTATACTACGAAGGCAGCGGTGGTCAAACACTTAAAGCCAGCTTTCTCATGTCTTTCACCTTTAATGGCCATGTTTCACAGCCATACATTAGAACAGAGTGGACTGGTGTGGAGTACACGCGACCCTTAATAGACAGTCGGATATCACAGGTGGCGTACGTTGGCGAGAGCCAGTCGAGCCTTTTGTATCCGTGCAGAGATTTCATCGACTACTGAGCCACCAGGGAAGGGCTGGTCCTACTTCCCAGGTGAGTGAAGTGGTCGACATACTCAACCACTACACTCTCCATTGTTAGCCGTGGTTGGGCAACGTTGAAGACCAATCCTGGAGCAACAATTTGCATTTGGGTGGTGAGAAACACATCGCAAGCATTCTCAAATTGCCACTCAAAGTGTTCAGAAGACTTCATCTCACCAGTCAGCGGCTTCACCTAACACGACTGACTATGTGATCTGCATATTCTAGGTCTAACGAAAATTCTCCTGCGATTAGGTCAACCTCTGTGTAATCAGGTGACGAGTGGGAGACCTCCATGAGAATATCTTTAATAAAATTGAATAAGAATGGAGTGAGTGGGCACCATTGACGGACACCACTCGATGAGCATAGCTCCCTGGACATCTCACTATTTAGTCTAACACGTCCACGCTCACAAGTGTTCTAGTGGAGAGCCTTCAATAAGGTGATGTACTTACTCGGCACGCCTTTCAGTGAGAGACATTGCCATAAGATTTCTCGATCAACGGAGTCGAATGCCGCTTTCAGATCGAGAAATACAGCTATTGTCGGGCGTCGGCAAGCGTGCCATGTTCCAGAACCTGGAGCAGAGTGAATATTTGGTCGATACACCCGAAGTGGGGTCTAAAACCTGCCTGGTTTACTCGCGCTTGCTGTTCCCGAGCTCCACTCAGACGTCGAAGAATTATAGAACCTCAAATTTTAGACACTATGCTCGTCAGGCTGATTCCTCTGTGGTTATCACAAGAGGACTTCTAGCCTTTCTCGAAGACTGGGATAATTAGTGACCTAGACGAGTCAGAGGGGATCGTGTTTGATTCCTATACACCAGTTAATACTTCCGTTAACCTGACTAAGAGCACCTTACCACCATCCTTGTATACCTCAGGAGTTAGTCCGTCTGGTCCTGCTGGACTTCCCCGTTCCAGGTTACCTACCGCTCTCTCAACTTCTACTAGTGTTGAAGGGCCTATCTCAATGTTCTATTCAGGATCTGACTGGATAGCGGGCAACGTAATGGCGGCTGGAGACCAGTTAAACTGTTCCTCGAAGCGTTCTGCCGATTTTTCCAGTCGTCTCCCCTGCGGGTGAAACGCAGATCAGTCCTTCTCCAATATAGCCTCACTAACCACAGCTGACCTTTTTCCCCCAGTCTCCTTAGTAAGTCTAACTAATTGTCTACTGTTACCAATCACCACTGCCTTTTCCATCTCTTTAGCCTTCGCTGCCCACCACTGTTCGCGGTCGTTGCGTAGACCTTTTCTCAATCTACTTTCAAGCTGTGCTCGCTCTTCATTGTACCCAGAGCCTGTTGCGGTGCGTTCACGTGCATCCACTAGCTCGGAAGAAGGTGCTGACATCCACTGGCTCTTTTTAGCCACTCTATTTATACAATTACCTATGACAAGTACGTGTGCGATCAGATAGTTCGAAATGTCTTGCGCAAATGCAGTACACAGTTCAGACAATTTTTGTCTTTTTATGGTTTTGTCGAATTTTAGGTAGAAAAATAAAGCATGGCAGTTATAAAAAAGATTGGTATGACGGTAGAAAATGAAGGGCTCATGAGATACCAGTTAGTTACCTCAAACCGGTCTACATCCCACATGGAGGGGCGAAACTAGTGTCAAAAAATGGCTGTATAAACGTTTCTAAAGCAACTGAAAGATTGGGCGGCTGCTGCTCTAACTGGTAGTGCGTTTCAGTGACCACAGAACCAAGGCGAGGGAAATCCATAAATGCAAGATGTTTGTGTGTAAAACGTACATATGGTTAGCATTATATCCCTCTAAATTCACATAAAACCACTTGATTTTCACTTAGACTATATTGATTTTCTATGGCACTATTTATTCCTCTGTCAAACAAGATATACACTATGGAAAATATCTCCCCTCACCATCACCATGGTGATGGTGAGGGATACACCCCCAGTAATTTATAGGATCCAACCTTAATCTGAGGATTGGGAATACATATATATATATATATATATATATATATATATGATCTGCTGCTGGAAAACTGGGAAAATCTAGCCATGTACATAAAACGTGATGGACAAGTACATAACTTACAGAAAAAGTGAACTGATGGAAGTTTAGAAAACTGAAGAAGGTGAAGCCGTAAGACTTTTATAATGAACCGACTTTTAATGAAACTTCAATCCCAGCGCGGACACCTTGAGAACAAATTCCCCTCCTTACAACCTCCAACATCTAACTCCAATGGTGCGAGTAAATGAAACTTGTAGTTTTTGAGCTCTCGCTTCTAGATCTTAAGACTCGATTCTTTTTATTCGGTTGTGTTTCGTCGACGATCATAGAAGTCTTTGTGTTTTCTTGCTTATAGCTTTGAAGGTAGTGATTATCTATTTGAAGGCATTTTATCTGCAAATTTTAGCTTGGTTTGTTTTGGGAGGGGCGGAAACAGAGCTGCTGGTAAGATCAATAAGCGTTTGCAGGTCCTGTTTTCGTCGTCACCTGCAAGTAATTATTAGGGGTTACTTAAAGTGTGCTAAATATCTGAATGGGAAGCAGAGAAGTGAAAAGTGCCTATGGAAAGATAAGTGTTACTGGTAATAATATGGGGAACAGATGCATCTAGTTGCAGATATTATTGTTGGGAAATACAAAGCTGGAAGAGCATATCATCGACTGATGCTGACAGATATCCGTGGTAAGCCATCTGCTCTCATGTACTTATCCAGTGGTTGTTTGAATGAGTCGGCCGATGTATCCGTAGCTGCTTATTTCGGTAAAGCGTTCCGTAAGGCACATACTCCGTGCGAGAAGAATTTAGATCTAGCTCTCGTCTTTTCCCTACGATGGGGTATGCGAATGGGGTTTCCGCACAACTATTGGTTTTGTACCTGTAACGCTGACCTACTTGGGTGGTCCTCTTGATAAATGATCTCGTAGGCTGTTATCAGGTTACCTCGCTTCTTTCGATTGCCTAGCGCGAAAAGGTTGAGTTGTCGGAGGTGGTGCGCATACGTTTGGACTGTTAGTTCAATGTCGACCTTACCGCTCTTCTCTGTACCTTCTGGGAGCATTTGCGCCTGTCTTTGGCAGTCGGGGAGCTATCGTGTTGAACGCCTCTAGGCGCGGTCCAACATGGGTTTTAAACACCATAAGGAATAATTCTGGGGTCAACGATCAAAGCTCCAATAGTGTGAGTAGAGGAAACTTGCAGATACTGATCTCTCACTTCCAGGTCTTGGGGCTCAGTTCCTTTTTTGATTAAACTTCCCCAGAGGTCACAGAAACCTATGTGTTTTCCTGCTTATAGCTTTGGAGGTACTGATTGTAAATTTGAAGATATATTTTCCAGCTTATTGCAGCTAAGTTTATTTGGGGGAGCAACGGAGCTGCTGACAAGGTCAACCAATTTTTCTGAGATTCCTTTTTTCATAGGCTTCTGCAGTTATCCAGCGTCCATTGTCTTTTTACGAGCCAGCATGAACCATTCAGTTTCTTCACTCTCGGTCTTTGGCGTATTCTGGTTCAGTAGGTTCACCCACCCACCTATTGTAGTTCTAGTTAGCCTGATGAGCAGATGGGTACTACGTAACTTTGTAGGGCTTGTGCTATTTCTCCACGGACTGTGATTCAGATAGGTTCCACAACTGTCGTGCCGCCAGACAGCTGGTCGGACTGGTGATAAAAAGAAGATGGAAGGTATATCCAGTGAAATCAGGAGAGAAAGTGCGAAGAGGGAAAACTGCAGGTGAAAGGAAGGTGAGTGGAAGCGAAGGACAGACCTAGGTGGAATAATGGAAGATAGGTGACGGGGAGAAACCTACCATATAGTGTGAGGGCACATAATCGGTGGAAAGAGAGTGGGCAAGTGAGGTTATAGGGAGGGTTGTGGAAATAGGGTGGCGGCAGGAGGAGGTGTCTACGGGGAAGTATGGAGTTGAGTCAGGTTCGTGACCATAGTAGTGGTGCAAAAGGTTCGGCTTAGGGTTGACTGGGCCAAGTTGCGGGAAGGTAATGGATTATACCAAACTAATCCGTAGTCCAGCTGGATGAACTCGAACCGTGTGTCGCTGCCTAGCTGTTCAATCTCTTCTTGAGGCTGTAGGTAGATGCAGCAGTAGCAGTCTCAACAGGCGATACGTTCTGGTGGTTGCAGACTCCAAAAGAGGAAGTGTGGACAGACATGGGCTTTCCCTATTTTGTGGTCGATTCTCCTAGGACTTCCATGAGGAATGACACATTGGCCGTTCGGTAGAATCCCACTGTTTGAGTGTTTCAGATTGCTCGGTATTTTCCAAGCCGCTACCAAGTCTCCATGTAACCCACGGTATGTATGAGAAGCAAACCCCTGGCTTTTCAGCCTATCCTCATGTGAGTTGGCCTCATTCCCACAACACACTTTGTTCTTGGCCTCCGGACTTTCTCCAGGAGGTCCATATTTCTCTTTGGGTATAGTGGTGCAGTCGCGTAGTGGGCATCTAAGTGAGGTTGCACGTAGGTTTTGCATGGCTTTCAGAGGAGCTCCAGAGTGAGGACGGCTAGTTTTCTGAGCATGAGGCGCAGTACTGAGCAGGCTCTGGATACACTCCCTGGCTACTTGGGTCCAGTGTCTCACGCGTCAGTCAATATTAGTCCGAGGTCTTCCTCCTTCGGTGCGGGGGTAAGTCGCTCCTTACGGACAGGGCCACGGGTGTGTAGAAACATGGTTCGCTATTTTATCGATGCAGTCCGTCACTATTAATCACCCACTCTGCAAGGAATATGGGGTCTTCTTGCACTGCAGTCGATTCTGCTTCGGCTGTCACAGCTCCCTGGGACCTAAAGCCTTAAGCAGAAGGTGAAATCTGGGAGCTGGTACTCAATGGGAGGTCAGTGACAAAATGAAGGAACAGCAGGGGACCTAGAATCACTCCTTGTGATGCATCAGATGATGATATCCTACAAATTCCCGCAAACCCTGTGACTGCTGGGTAGACTCTTTATCATCTATAGAGTCCTCCAGCTAGGATAGCACTTGACCGTTGATACCCAAAGCCGATATTTTGCTAGTGCGAGTGTTGTGTTGGAATATGTTGAAGGCTTTGGGAAAATCATATGAAGGGAATTTGGATCCCCACGATGTCATCCAGTTATCACTGGCTGCCAGCAGGTTTGAGGCGTAAGACCTGCTCTTCCTGAAACTGTGCTGAGCACCACAGAGTGCCCCCTTCTTGTATAAGTACTCCCTGATATGTCCTTCTACCAAGCTCTCCCTTACTTTCGATCGCACTGGTGGACATGTTACGGGTTGGTATGATTTCGGGTTCCGCCTGTCCGTTTCTTTGAAGATAAGGGGAGGAATAGCACGTTTACGCTCCCATGGAAGCATGTGTCTGTCCAAGGAGTGTTGAAGCAGATTACGGAGCGGGCCGTATAGGCCACTCGCACAGCCAAGTATCGTCGCATCTTGATGATTTCGCTGCCCAGAGCCTCGACATGGCAGGGTTCACCCTTATTCAATACAACTCATTTGCATCGAGTAAGTATTAAGCTTCGCTTAAAATGCAGTGCGAGAAATAAGGCTGGAGAAGGATAAGAAAAAAAGAGTGGAGAGCACTTACGGAAAAGCTAGCGTTACTGGCAGTTATGTGGGAAGTGATAAGTCTTACTGCAGATACCAGGGTTGGTAAATACAGAGATGGATGAGCATATCGTCAGTTGCTGCTGGCAAATAGCTGTTCGTGCCACGCTGGCATCCAACAGTCGTTTAAAGGAGTCAGCCAACGTAGTTAAGGCTACCTCCTTCGGCAAGGCATCCCATAAGGCCCACACTCAGTGGGAAGAAGTCAGGTCACACTCTTACCTCTGCCAAATGATGGTGCATGCGAGCGGTGTTCCCGCTAGACCGTCAGTTTTGGACCCACAAAGTTAACCTATATGGGCGGATCGCCTGATGAATGATCTTGTAGGCTGTTATCAGGTCACCTCTTTTCCTTGGATAGCTTAAGAAGAACGAGTTGAGTTCTCTGAGGCATCGCACGTACGTAGTACCCGCTGATTCGACAACCGACCTTGTCGCCGTTCTCTGTTCTTAGACTCCCCCCTCAGGTCGATCCGTTGTGCTCACGTTAGTACAGTATTCTCAATCCTCTAGATGGGCCGTGAATCATGCTGTGTGATACTCAGTTTCCCTAATTTAGCGGGCATGGTGTAGTATGGAACGCTCCCCAAAACTTTGGCCAAGTTCAGAAAGGTAAGGTGAACCGGTTATCTGTTGTCCCATCTGGTGTTCCAACAATTCAAAGCGATCATAATGTGTGTGGCAGTCCAGTCTTGAAGCCGTGTTGAGGGGGATGAACGATGTTTTTCCCGCTCGGGTAGTCCCAAACAACCTCTGCTACCGTGCTTTTCAGTATCTTGGATAGTATGAGAAGTAGCGCAACGGTCCGCAAATGCATGGAATTTTTCTGTCCCCTCTCTCGGAGTTTGGTGAAAGGATAGCATTCTTCCAATTGTCGGGGCGTCGACTTACTTCCAGTGAGCAGGTGAACAGATTACTTATGGATATGCTTAGTACTTTGGTGCAGTTCCATTGTACCGCCGCCCTTATGTCGTCACAACCCGGATATCTTTCTATTCTGAGTGCTGGATTTCTTGCCAGCACTGGATTTGACGGAGTGGTTACGTTCATGGTTCCAGGCACAGGTACAGTTTTTATCTCCTTCCAAGTAGTGGATACTATGTTTTTCGGTAACGATACATCGAAGATATCTGTAAGTGGATGAAACAAAATATCTGCACATTTTTTAAATATGATACTCGAAACACCATGAGGACCTAAGCTCCGGAAGGGATTCAAAGACTTTAGACATTTAAATATATCATTTGTAATGAAACCTGGAGAGCAGCTATCGACTTGATTTCGCACATTAGGAAGGGTGAAATTAGCCTGCCGATGTATAAGTGACTTGTTTAACGCGCAGACATCCGAACAAGCTTGTGTTGTCATCTGTTTTTTACCAGTAAGCTCTTGAAATTAATTTCCATATATTGGAAGAATTCTTAGACGATAGGAACTTCTTTTTGTATATGGTATCCAGACGTTGTATTTCAGACTCAATTAGGCAGTTAAGCCTTTTAACGCAAGGGTGATCTCTCGCCTTATACAACATTTCCTTTTCTCTCTGAAGCCTCTTGAGATGAGGAAAGAAAGTCTGTCAAATCTGATGTAAATTGTTTTAGTAGGGCAGTAGATAT